ATACGTTGCCCAGGGTGCACCACGTGGAGGTAAGTCTATCGAACATTTAAAGAAAAGTGATTTGCCAGAATATTCATACTTAAACGACATGACAGCTCATGGTCCATACTTTCGAAAACTCAATTTGAACGCAAAATTATGTATGAAATGGGGCAACAAGTATTAAATGAAACATGAGCAAAAGGCCGGCCGCTTTTCGGCAGTTTTTGCCGGAAAAAGACATTAAATCAAAACACCCATTTGTAATCATTTTGGTAAGGGAAAAAGACAACTACGATTGCCTTCAAACAAAATAACCCTATACAGGAATTGATGATAGCACGCTTGACCATTTGAAAAAAGGTCAGTCGAAGATAAGAAAATGACTCGACTTGACTAGAACAAACCAGTCAGGGTATTTAGGCGAGGAGTGGAGATAGCAACGTAATAGGCGATCTTTAATCTCAGTAGCCATTCACAACAAGGAGATATCGACGTTTGAAAATGGAGAATCGTGAACAAAGAAAATGATCAATTATTAATTTATGGCAAACTCACTAAGGGAAAAACTACCCTAAATTCTTTAAGTTGATTCTTTCATAGTAATTGACCCTGAAATCGGTGCACTATCCATATTAAGAACTTCGTTTGATAATCATGAAAGCGAGTTAGGAACTGATTGGTACTCAAAGTGAATACGTAGTAAATATTCGAAACGAACAATTCAAATAGCCAAAACGCCTTTGATTTGACTAAAAATAGTCACGTTTAGAGGCTATGAAGTACAAACTCTTTGTGGTCCAGACATTTTACTTATCAAAGTCAGTCAGAACAATAATTATCTTAAACCGGGCCCCCAGGAGTGAGTGAATGAATAAAGATGCCATCAATCCAGGGGTAGCCAAGTCCTCAGCTATTTATTCGGAGTGACATCAGCTTTTGAGGCAAATGCCACGTGATACTAAATTAAGAATCATTACAATCGAGGGCGCAAGAAGATAATGGACTCATTTGCACTTTGCCCAATTCGACATATTTAACAGTAAGAATAAGGACCACACATACTCGGTAAAAAGAGAATGGATGCATATATAGAAAAGTGACTTACATCCTTTCTATTCTCTAACCATTGTTGAAGGGGGTTAATTAAAGCGTTTGCTGCCTTTAGGAGATAAGGTGGGGGTTCCTGGCTTGCATATAGGTAATCTGAAATTGTTAAAGATTGATTGTTACATGCAACTGATGGCAAATAAAAGAAAACTGCCAAGCGATGACTTACTGGTTAATTTTCCTAGGATCACGTCAGCTGCGTACCAATGAAGCTTCTCAAACGCGGGGAAGAGAAATCGTTGTTCAGTCTCCTGGACCGTTTCCATGTGGTAAACGCTGGAAATGTGAGGTAGAGGAGATGCTTTAAATTGTTGTACGTTGTCTAACAAATGATAGGCATTATTATTATCGAGAAAAATATAGATTACTGCCGTATTTAAAACGTATCTGCTAACGAATCCCAAACTTCATGGACTCTAAGGAAACTCTATGTCTCAATGCTATCGTAAATCATTATTTCAGAGAAAATATCACAGAAATTGGGTTTAGCCACATCCCGAAATTGTGGCATGCATTCTATAATTTCATCTAAATTAACTTGGGCTTTGCTTTCCCCACAGTCAATTAAAGCCAAGAACTTATGAAGATAGGAAAGATACCCAAACCACACTCATTCGTAAAAACAACAGTACTTTATTGACAGAGTAAATACAAGTACAAAGTTTCCAGACGTAAAGTTACTTATCACATGGTCCCGAAAACTATAATTACAAACCTAGCTACCCCAAAATGAAACAACCCTTCTGAGTCCCAGACAATCAAAGAACAACCTTTCATTGGCTTAGAAGCACTTTGAATGGATGCTGCTGAACGCTGGATAGAAACTAGAACACATCCCTAGAATTACTTAGATTCACAATAGCTTTAAAATAAAATCCAAAAATAAAATGAAATAAAGAGGAAGTATCTTAGAACTCTCCTGATTCGAATCTCACTTTTGTTTGCTATCAGAATGGTCATTCGCTTAATCTAGAATGTCTCGACGCATTATTAATAATTATTAAATAAAGAGCAAAGCTACTCACTGGAGTTGTAGCGGAATGCTAAATTGTGTGAGAAAATTGCCTCCAAAAACGAGACTGTCTTTGGGCGTATATACAGCGTGAATCCATCCAGAAGGAAGTAGGACTGTATCACCAGCCTTTAAATGCAATGCTGCCACTGGGATAGGGGTATCTGAAAAAAAACGAATTAATAACAAAAAAAGGCCTATTTCAGCAATCATATTTGATCAATAAGGTTGGCTATTTAGACCACTAAAGTTGCGCAGGCAAACATCGACCTTGTGACCTCTGATTTAAAAGACCTGTATATTGACCACAAAATGTTCAAGAGTTCTTGAGACGATAAGAGAAATTTTTCCTCCGTATAGTAACAATTAACTGCTATATATACTTACCATACATTTGGTCTCCCGCTATGATCAACATTGTAACCGTTTAGTACCTCAGGAAAGAACGACGCTTTTGCCTCTGGTTTCGTAAAATCATCAATCAATAGTTAAGACAATGAGTAACAATACAGTTCCACTTTGATGATGCAAATAAGGGAGGGTTGATGATAACATACCAATTAAAGCCGTTGCTCCAGCAGTGATAAACCGTTAAAACAGCAATCCGAATTCTGTTGAAAGTATTTTCGGCACTCCAATTCAATCAAGGTTAATTTCGAGATTCCCCAAGGCAGTCAAATAACCACACCCCCCAGCCCCCCGATAATTTTTCTCCTTAAGTTGCATTTTTGTTCGATAGATTTTAGTTGATAATTTTCAAACTCACTGACGTGGACTTTGACTGTCACGCAGCCAGTGGAATATAAGGATATTGATCTATCGGGAGTGAATTACATTAAATTGCTCTAAGGAGGAGATAATTCGGTCAACATTATTACACAATGAAAATTACTTAATGAAAATTAACCAATTACCCCATTTTGATGCTCAGCACTTGATAGTCGCTAGGAAATGGACATCTCAATATGGAAGTTTATGGCACTATTATAAAAATAACATTGCTTTAAGATCTAGGTATCAAGTGGAAAATGTTTCAAGACCAATTCTGAGCATCTCCAGAAGAAAATAACTCGACTTTTTGAATTAGATCATATGGTAACATACAGCAAATTAAGGTTAACTTAAGGACAATAATAACGACTCACTGAGTGTGTCGGGATAGAATACTTGGCGATTATCAACCAGCCCATTCCAAGCCCAATAAGCATCCAAATATGGCTTTGACGGTGGAGTTATATAGAAGATCTTTTCACCCTAATGAATGGAAGAAAATTAGATTGGTTAATGTGGCTTAACTCTAGTAATTGAAGCGATGGCTCACCCAAAGGATATGGTACCAAACAGATGATCCTCCAAAATCGATATGGAAGTCGGTGTAAGAGCCGGCCATACTCATTAGACAGTACTTTTGAACGTAAGGTCTGTCCGGAGCCACTGGTCCAATTTCGTCGTCCTCGTCCGCAGGCTCTGCCCAACAATTATCCACTAGACTCAACTCTTTAACAACATGTGGTGGACGGATATAAGTGGCTAATCTACAATCCAAACACCAACATCACTTGAAATAATTTGAGCAAAAAGAAAACGATATAATCAAACGACAATAGCAAGCAGGTTCTTATCAGATTGTGCTAATATTAGATAAAGCATTAATGCTGAATTAAAAATCAAATTTACTATTTAAACAAGTTAAATAACAACTCATTTAATTACTGGAATATGATTGCACAAAGGGTAAGTCTAATTCGGCAGAATAATTGCAGTAAGAGGAGAGATTTTGAGATGTTAATAGTTCATTTTAAGATCAAGTGATATTTATAAGTAGAATTCCAGTTTAAAAATTGCACTAGGCTTAAATATACCCACTTAGTTCGCGAATACTCAAAACTGAGAACATTCAGAATCCGTCCACGAGGCTTTGCATAAAATTTTTCGACAAATTCACCCAGAGGCATCATTGAATCAGCCTGATCTTTCACATCGATTACAGCGATTTGGATTTCGGGATCCGTGAATTCGATAACATCGTGAAGAGTAAAATCGGATGGCGGAACTTTCATACGAAGCCCGGATTTGTTGTGGACAATAATGGGCTTCTTAAAGCCCTCCGTTTCTAAGTTAAAACCGTTAACTTCATCACCATTCTTGCAGTCAACAAACGGATCCGAACTAAAATAATGAAAAGGCAACTGTAAAGCAAAATAGTTTACCGCAAGTACATTTTATTTATTGAATCAAATCTCCATTGATCGAAATAAATAAGAGGAACTTACTCAAGATATTCCCTTCCTAATAGTTTCCTAATGAATTCAGGCGTCCCAGCCGCTGGTTTCATTGATCAAGTAAAAATAGCAATACTCACTTTCTGAAATACAAAATATTAATTCGTAAATGCAATTATATCCTACCTCAATGAAATTATAATTGAATATGAATGAATCTTTTTAATTTAAAAAAAATATGTTTTTGAGTGAAAAAAATTTATCGGTTGGAAGACAACTTCAAGAGACTTAACATTTCGTGCCAACAAAGAAGTGGCAGGGTAAAATGTACAAATGGAGAATAAACGTACCCTATTCGAAGCCTAACTGAAAACCCTAAAGTGCGCTAGCTTGATAGAATTAGCATTCGAGCCACGATGGCCTTTTCTTGGTCACCCATCATTATCATTATCTTGCTTAATTAAAGGTAACCATTCTCACCACCATATTAATAATATTTCAAAAAATATTATTTATTTTGATTTTATATGTAAATTTTTATCATCTACTAAATAATATGCGAGTTTCATGTCTACCTTATTTTATTTGCTTTAACATGGTTTTACCATACGAATACGTTTTATTAATCTTAAGACACGATGTTTTTGAGTTAACCAAAAAAGGATTAATTATACTTAGCATGTGTTAATTCAAATTCCAATTGCTAGACTTTTAAGGCTTTCATAGTTTTCCAGACATTTCCGCATATATACATACGTTTCATACAATTCCTTTATTTGAGGGCATGAAAACCCAAAAATGTCGCCATACACTTGATATATGATTACTTTTTATATTAAAAGGCATCGAAAAACATTCTGGAACAAATTTTTCAGTTGCAAACAAAATTTTACTAATCGTTCACAGTTTGTTTCAAGTTTGTCATTAAATAATTAGCATTTATTTCAAATTAGTCTGTGGGACACTTCATCAATGATCAAATAGAAATCCTGCAATAGAATACAGCTCAGAAATATTTAGCTATTAAAGTTCAAACGAATTATGCTAGAGTTATCTGGTAACTAATCGATTTGCCAAACACACACTTCGCTATCAATATACGTACCGAATAAACGTATTCCGTGCTACACGTCTGCTTCCCTTATAGCTGGGCTATAGCTTAGCTTGTTCTGGGAGTCTAGCTAGATGTTGGAGAATCTGCTTTACTACCGTAGCAATCCGCTACAAGTCCGTACGTACTTCCTTATCATTCAACAATAATTCAGAGTCTTGTTTTCAAGTCATAGAACCTATGCCAAACCGACCTTCGAAAATCGTAGGATGATCATATTTGCCTCGCCGTTTATCTCAGAATTGTCACCGTTTGTCAAAACTTATTGAAATTTCAACTCTGAATTTCCACTCAATCGATAGTTGCATTCTTTCATTAGCTGAACATTGAAACCAGCATTTATCTCAATAACTCGAAGAGTTACTGAGATATATATCAAACTCTCTCATTAAGTTTATTATAAACACCCATCAATATCTAATTTAGCAATCCCGGTTACGTTGAAATAACTTCACTGGTTCAATTTGCCCAGAGATTTTCCACTTTGCTTGGTCAACAATATTGATCTAAGTGTTTCCCATGT